ATAAAATAGCTATATAAAAACCTGGACTTAGCGCAAATATTTTATATTCGCCGTGCTCTTAGAATTGTGTGTGTGTGTGTGCGGCTAGAGTCAAGGTTGGACTACTGGTCCTTTAGTCATTCTTAATAATAAGTGTAAAAGTTGGCTAGTTTTTGGGCATAACCGTCCTTTAGTGGGTATAGTAAAAAGGTAGTTGTGCTGGAGGCTGACAAGGAGCCACTTTTCAGTCTAATACTTTTGAGCTAGACTGTGCTGACGGGTCTAAACTCTACGCCTTTGGTAGTTCACTAATTTGAGGGATTGGGTCTGATCAGTTTATCCAACGGGAAGACACGAGAAGAGCTCGTCGTCGATATACAGGGTGATTCATTAAGGATAAGACACTCGTTTACTCAGTAACTATTGAAAATTTTTAATTTTTTATAAGGAAAATATTGTTTGATTCAAAAAACACTACAATTATATGTAGTAAAAACATGATATTTTTCATCCCTTCAAGGTTAAAAAACATTAACTTGAGTTTTNCACACTACAATAATATGTAGTAAAAACATTATATTTTTCATCCCTTCAAGGTTAAAAAACATTAACTTGAGTTTTTTTAAATGAGAACACATATTTTGAATTTAATAGTGAATGGCATTTGAATTTTTAATATAACTTTATTCGTTTATTAGATATTAACACTTAAAGTTTCAAATTTTTGAGTTAATATACATGTATAATACAGTAGGGATTAAAATTACAGATAGCTAATTGATTTTATATGATATCGATATTAGCAGGTACAAAGCATTGTTATTATCAATGGTAGTAAGGCACATTGTTGTGAGTTTATAAATACACTANGGATTAAAATTACAGATAGCTAATTGGTTTTTTAATATATCGATATTAGCAGGTACAAAGCATTGTTATTATCAATGGTAGTAAGGCACATTGTTGTGAGTTTATAAATACACTAACTGACAATACAGAATGTATATCTATTGATAGTCATAATTGATAATGAACAATCCGTGACTGTGACAGCAATGTCATAAAAAAACAATTAGCTATCTGTAATTTTAATCCCTACTGTATTATACATGTATATTAACTCAAAAATTTGAAACTTTAATTGTTTATATTTAATAAACGAATAAAGTTATATTAAAAATTCAAATGCCATTTACTATTAAATTAAAAACTCAAGTTAATGTTTTTTAACCTTGAAGGGATGAAAATTATCATGTTTTAACTACATACTATTGTAGTGTTTTTTGAATCAAACAATATTTTCCTCATAAAAAATTAAAAATTTTCAATAGCTACTGAGTAAACGAGTGTCTTATCCTTAATGAATCACCCTGTATATATATATATATAACAATAATTAATTTGTGTAAAACTTTTGTGTATACGTTGGGGCACTACCAACGTACGACATAAAATTGGCGATCAACTCGAGGTTCGTACCGACACTACCTCTCGAAGATTTTCTTTTTTCGTGTTATCGAAATTTGTATGTGCGTGTAATTTTGCGTCAAAGGGTTGATCCGTCAATCACTACAATAAAAGGATTACTTGAAAAATTTAGCCGGAAGACCCAAGGTTAGTGCAAAATATATTTATATATAATAATTTTATTTAGTTATTAAATTTAGTAATTTAAAAATCTCTCCAGAGACAAAAAAAATGTTTGTGTGTGTATGTATAATTTCTCATTTGTCTATAATATGAGTAATATTGAAGACATAGAGGAAAAATTNATATGAGTAATATTGAGGACATAGAGGAAAAATTAAAAGAAATTTTTGGAGATAATACTAGTTCAGAATTAGATACATTTGTTTTTGACATAATATTTTCTGACCAGGAACTCATTAATATTTTAGACGACAGAATATCANGTATGAGTAATATTGAGGACATAGAGGAGAAATTAAAAGAAATTTTTGAGATAATACTAGTTCAGAATTAGATACATTTGTTTTTGACATAATATTTTTTGACCAGGAACTCATTAATATTTTAGACGACAGAATATCACAATTGACATTTAATGAACTGAACACAAAAACAAAAAACCACTNTATTAATAATATTGACATTTAATGAACTGAACACAAAAACAAAAAACCACTTACACATCTTTAAAAGATCTAAGTTTTAATTTTATTAATTACTATTTTATAATTATACAAAAAATATCATTCCTACGCGAATACAAGCGATATTAAAAAAACCAGATCATTTTTATAATAATATTAAAAACGCTTCATCGGGTGATCAAAATAAATTAGAGGATTCAGGTAAAGAACATTTTGATGAAGATATAGACGATTTAAATAGAACCTTTGAAGAAGAACAAACACCGGGTAATCGTAATAACTTAACAGAGGGAAAAATTCTAGACTTAATTTCAATAACTAATTGCATAGAAACAATAAATTCAAATATTACAANAAAAGATATAGACGATTTAAATAGAACCTTTAAAGAAGAACAAACCCGGTGTTTGTTCTTCATTCGTAATAACTTAACAGAGGGAAAAATTCTAGACTTAATTTCAATAACTAATTGCATAGAAACAATAAATTCAAATATTACAAGTAGGGAGTCTAATAACCGATCTTGTTTGATGAAACCAGATTATTTTTCGGGTACTGAGGATGTAAGAAAATTTTTCAGGCAGTATGAAAAGGCAAATGAAATTAATAGATGGAGTGAGATTGATACAATAAAATTTTTGTCAATATTTTTAANAGTCTAATAACCGATCTTGGTTGACGAAACAAGATTATTTTTCGGATACTGAGGATGTAAGAACATTTTTCAGGCAGTATGAAAAGGCAAATGAAATTAATAGATGGAGTGAGATTGATACAATAAAATTTTTGTCAATATTTTTAAGAGACAGCTAGTATAATTTTAGAAAACTTTGAAAATAAAAAATCAATTTAGACATATGAGGAATTAAAAAACCAATTTCTAGACGAACATCAACCAATAGGCTATTTAACTCTAATAAAAAATAAACTGGAAAAACGTAGGCTGAAGAGTCAAAGTCAGTTATGAATTATGTAACAGAAATTGAAAACTTATGTAGACAGTTAAATAAACAAAAAACCCAGCACAGGGGGGTCGCGGCACAGTTGTGACGTGGTATAGTTGGATCAAGTATAATGATATCTGACAGTGATTAAAATCACTATCAAAAATAAACGCTTCGATGCAAATCTTTAGATAGTGTTTAATTTTAAAAAAATTGGTGTTTTATTTCAAAAGTTACTTGATCTGCTGGTTCCTTATTAATATCTCGATAAAGATAAAGTATGTCAAATGAAAAAGGGTTTATTGAAAAATATTATTTCTCATAAAAAAATTGTGTGGATCCATAAACTTTTCAATAAGTTATAGCATTATAAAGTTAAATATTATATAAATAATAAAATCGAGAATTTTCACACGAAAATAGCATTCGGTAGCCATTTTCGCCATGAAGACAAGTCCAGAGGTCAAATTTTTTTTTTTCAAATTAAAGTATATTACATTAGCTTTAATTTAATATATATATAAAAGTGTCAGACCTTCCGGAACATTTTCAAAAAATATGTTGAAAAAGTAAATTTTTTGTGAAAAAGTTGTCATTTTAAATCCCCCCCCTGTGGGCAGAAAAAAGTCAAATTTACAAAAAAAATATACCACATAATAGGTAAAGACATTAAGCATCTATATAAAAAAAATTATATTGATATGTTTATTTTTGAAAAAGTTTTTAGTAAAAAAAATTGAAAAAATTAGCGATTTTTAAATTTGTAATTTTTTTGGAGGTTTCTCTCCTTTTACGGGGAACGAGGGAAATTTTTTCAATTTTGAAGGGTAATGTCTTCGACTAGATATGATTTGTGATCTTTTGACGTATCGTTGAAAGAAATCCGTTCGGTGAGAGCTGAGAAAAAGTGGTAACAGACACAAAAAAAAACACATCATAGTAAAACCAATACCTTCTCAGCTTCGCATCGAAGCTAAAA